CATGCGGAGGAAAAGTGACCGTGTTGCAATTTTTTTTAGCGACACATCACGACATGACGCTAAATATATGTACAAATCTTGCACGCACATACATATTTTTAAGAGTTGATTGATTGATATGTGGGGTTTAACGTCCCAAAACCACTATGATTCTGAGAGACGCCATATTGGAGGGCTCCGGAAGTTTGGACCACCTGGGGTTCTTTAACGTGCACCCAAATCTGAGCACACGGGCCTAGAACATTTTCGCCTCCATCTGAAATGCAGCCGCCGCAGCCGGGATTTGATCCCGCGCCCTGTGGGTCAGCAGCCGAGTACCTTAGCCACTAGACCATTGCGGCGGGGCTATGTTGAAGAGTTGCAGATGTTTATATAACCAGTTGTTTGCACTTGTGAATCGATGTCAACTGAAACATGCGTATTGCAACACCAGAAGCTGATATGAAGCGCTGATGCTCGCGAAGATGCTGGCCCTGGACACTGCTACATGAGTCGAAATTGGGTTGGCAGCACTGCAACCACTATGACGTTTCACGAAGATTAGCGTCTATTTGAAAAGTAGTTCCGAGATCTTCCCGTTCTTGACGCTTGTGTGTGTTTGCCTGACTTCTGATAAAGTATGTTGTGTGTACTTTACAGGTGATAATTTCATTCATTAAAGAAAAACATTAAAAATCTGGCGTAGCTCTGTGGTAGAATGCTTGACTGCCACGCGGATTGGTTGGGTTCGATTCCTGCTGAGGCCCTGGAATTTTTTTATTTGTATTCGTCGAGGGGTCAGCGCACCATATGTCAGGTTTTTCTTAACACTGACATTTATTCTATGCCTTTGTTGGGTCGACGCTACAGATGAAGGGTAAATTGCCCATGCGTAATCTCGTCGTTCCTGGGTGGATACCAAGTGTCAATCACCTGTGGCACATACCCGCATACCAGCGGCACATACCCGCCCGTGGGTATGTGCCACTGGTTGGCGGGAAGTGTTTTGCGACGTACGCGACGGGATTATGGCATTATTCATGTCTTGACCAGCGCGTCCCATTCGTCAAACCATCTTATACCTCCCATGCTAATTTTGGTTCACGCCAAGTTAAGGGGGTGACCACGAGAGCACCCAAACGTAAGTGGCTAGATGGATAGAATGATGGGTTGATAGATAAACTCAAAGTCGCCGAAGTTCGCTAAAAAATTATTCGCATTTAAAAGGTGCATATATGTAATATGTGTAAGCGCGAATTTAAATACGTGTGAAAGTCAATACTAGACATTTTTTTCAATTATGCTAGGAAAGAGGTGAGTGACAGGGCTGGTTTTAGAATAGCAGACTGGCTATTCCAAATGGTAGTTCCTCTGAATTCTAAAGTTTGAAGACCATAATTTGTATTTGGTAGTAAAAGCCAGGCGCGTGAAAAGCACTCGGTAGCTCGAGGTGGCGTATACGAAGGGACACCGACTGTAAGCTAAGACTACCGTGAAGTATTTTGTATATTAAAGATGCAATAATATAAGCAACCAGAAGTAACTAGTCCTGGCCGTTATACCAAGCGCTGGCCCCGCCGCGGTGGTCTAGTGGCTATGGTACTCGGCTGCTGACCCGCAGGGCGCGGGTTCGAATCCCGGCTGCGGCGGCTGCATTTCCGATGGAGGCGGAAATGTTGTAGGCCCGTGTGCTCAGATTTGGGTGCACGTTAAAGAACCCCAGGTGGTCTAAATTTCCGGAGCCCTCCACTACGGCGTCTCTCATAATCATATAGTGGTTTTGGGACGTTAAACCCCACATATCAATCAATTATACCAAGCGCTGACAGATAACACTGTCACTCTGTTCTCATAATGGACGGTGCCGACAAAAGCGGCTTTCTTTAGCTTTGGGTTGGTGGCGCTGTTGGCAGCCGCCGTATAGAGAGCAGGCCACGCACTCGCGTGTTCCCTTTCATAAAAATTGACAGTGTGCCACTTTGAAATTTTTCGAGGTTGCTTGAATCTCCTTAAACCCGGCTACGCAAACGCCTTTGGGCTTTTGCTTATAAGCGTAGAATCAACTCCAATGTAGAATCAACTTCTCTCCACTTATAGATATGAACCAATAAGCCGTCCATAACTATACGATCAGCGAAGATGTGCTGTTCAGTGTGTTTGATGTTGTATGTTGTTGTCTTGTACAAGGTTTAGTTTATTTTCGTTCTTTAAGTTAAACGTGGTTGTCGTTAGCTGCAGCGACCCTTATTTGACTTGTTAACGCTCCTCCGAGATCGGTAGCTACTGGCAATCCCATTTGCTCGCGCTCTCGACAAGTGCGAGGAGGCAGTTTGAGAGTGACGTCATAACAGCCGGTGTAACTTCAACACATTTTATTGGTTACTTTTTTATTCGAAGTAGGGGTGTAAAGAGCCAGGTTTGGTTTTCTAAAGGTAAGTTGCTCTAGCATAAGTGTGCCCCCTCCACTTGCATTAGCCATGCGTGGGACGCTTTAACCGTATTCTGTTTGCGTCAGGTATCTTCATATGCATAAATGGCCAGCGATACAATAAAGAGGACATTTCAGAGGCATTTGGTATTCTTTGTAGCCTATCTGTGATTTTTTGTGGCGCTCTTACGGGCCAATGCCAGAGTGTTATAATCGAGTCATCACAAACAAAGGTGAGGCAGACAAAGAACTGCTATCCTTGTCCACCACGTCTTCAATTATTTTTTGTCTATCGTTGTTTGTGCTGATTTGATTGTGTTGTAAATGCCAGGTCAACTAGCCTAACAGCCTGTCCTACTGGATGCTCACAGCCCCGCCACCGTAGTCTAATGAATAAGGCGCTCGGCTGCTGACTCGCAGGTCGCGGGATCGAATCCCGGCTAGCTGCGGTGGCTGCATTTTCGATGGATGCGAAAATGCTGTAGGCCTGTGTGCCCACATTTGGGTGCTCGTTAAAGAACTCCAGGTGGTCGAAATTTCCGGAGCCCTCCTCTACAGCGTCTCTCATAATCATATGGTGGTTTTGGGACGTTAAAACCCACATACCAATCAAATCATTACTGGATGCTCACAAGCAAGAAGAACAAAAATATTGTACGGATATGCCGATAAAGCACATGTCTCTGAAAATTGCTGCAAAGCACCCACGGTACTCTATCGTATTATGCCCTGGGGTGAGCGTCGTAAATATTGAGGCCTTCACGTTTCGTAGTTGTCTGTGATATGCACTATGTTTCACATACGCGTACTGACAATGATGCGAGCATATATACTCCACTTGAGTCGACGTTCGCTTTAAATAAATACTTGAATTTTACTAAATGTACGTGTTAAACGTTTGTTATAATGCTTGAAGGGTAAATACGTGTGTTTCATAGTGTTCATTCGTTATAAAAAATTCACCGGCAATCACGACATCGCCTAACGCGAAATACAGGGCAAGGCAACCTGTGTTTGAAGTGTCCTGCTTTCCGCAAGGTATAGACGCGCCAAAACTCATATATGTTAGAACAGCACCACTACGCCATTATTAGTCTTTCTGCTGATAAGCGAGGTATACCCACTAAACATCTGCGCATGGCATGTAGCACATGACGATGAAGAATTATGGCCGAGCACATGACAGTGGGTGGGAAGCGTTAAATCACACACACGTTGCAAAGTAGCGTTGTGTGATGACTGAAGTTGTTATTTAACTTTTCAGGCCACGCTATATTCCTTGCCCAACATGACGTCTGTACAGGGTCTTTTTGCAAGTGAGTCCCAACCATTATCGTGGCTCTGTGGTAGAAAAACTCGACTGCCACGTAGAGGGCCCGGGATTCATATACCCATCAATCTTTGGTGTTTTTATTTTCCCCCGTTTTACTTTACGCCACCAACGGCAACGACGTTGTCGTCGATGCCGTTGGTGGCGACGTTGCCGCCTGGCCCCGCCGCGGTGGTCTAGTGGCTAAGGTACTCGGCTGCTGTCCCGCTGGTCGCGGGATCGAATCCCGGCTGCGCCAGCTCCATTTTCCGTGGAGGCGAAAATTCTGTAAGCCCACGTGCTCAGATTCGGGTGCACGTTAACGAACCTCAGGTGGTCGAAATTTCCGGAGCCCTCCACTACGGCGTCTCTCATAATCATATGGTGGTTTTGAGACGTTAAACCCCACATTAAATAAATAAATCGATGTTGCCGCCTGGGACATGCGCATCAGAGCTGCGCTCTAAAAAGAAATGCTGCTCCACATTTCGCAGCACAGCAACGGCATTTCGCAAATTGCGCCACGTTTCAGCCACATTGAAAAATATCGAGAAGATTCCTGCAGATGAAACTGCGATGATGTTGCAAGTAGTTTTGCAACAATAAAAAAACGTTGATGGCCTAGCAGCCAGACTGGAAAAGCAATCAAGTGCTCAAGCCATCAGCATTGCTAAGAGAGAGAGAGAGACAGAAGTTCCGAGACAAAAACTTAAGGTTTGCTACCCTGGATTGAGGGAAAAGAAAGGGGCAAGCATGTCTGCTGTTCGCGATAAAATCTGCTTTGTGACTTATCTCTGAGCTAATATTAGGGTGTTATTGGAATAAATATGAAGGCAGCCGATAGAGGATATCTGATAAGGTGAGAAAATAAGCGGTGCGGTTTATTTTTTCTTTGAAGTTGTTGCCAGGTGACGATAATATCAGGCGTAAACACACTCCGACAGTGCACTGACAGCGCGATTAACTCAGCCAGAAAGAGTTCATGACACCGTTTTCGAGAGTCTGCAGGTGAAATGGGGCGCCTGATCGTGCGCCCCATGAGACAGCGCTTGTTCTGGTCTAGTCGGAAAAGCATTCTCCGCACAACGCGAGGATCAGTGGCCGCCGCCAAAACAAGCACGGCCGCTTGCTCAGACTGGACAGTCCGCTTGCACGTCACCGCCGGCGCGTCGACCGATGACTGCGACAGGGTCGTCCCTGGAAGCACAAGTAGTGTAGCGGCAGTGGTGTGGCGTGGCGCCGAAATCGCGGCGGGGCCTTTTCCCTACTTGGCCAAAACGCGCCTGCGCGTGGGCCGTCGGCGGTGAGCAAGGCCGCGTACAGCGCAGCAGCGCAGCAGTCGACCGGGTGCGGGCCAATCACGGGGCTGCTCGCCGCATTCGGGCGCCACTCGCTTTCGCCCCCCACCCCCCCTCAAGCGCAAGCGACCCAGCCAGGCCGGAATGGCGGACAGAGCGCCGGCGGCTGCGATACTCGGACTCAAGATGGGCGCTGCCCTGTTCTTCTGGATTGCCCTCGGTCTGCTGTGCTGCAGTCGAGCGGACGGCTACGCAGAGGTAGGACCGACGCGTCTTATCGACGATAGATAAACCCTACTGTTTCCGATAGCATTGTGCGCCGAGTGCGTTCACCGCATGTCTGACGCACGCACTGCCGACAGGCTTCGTGCGCGGACGTCGCGCCGTGTGTTTCGGATCTGTCGCGGCGACAAGCCCGAGTTCAGCCCGAAAGCGAGCCTCGCTTCGGCTGCGGGGCGAGCCGTCTTGGAAGCGCGATGCCCGTTGGTGGGGCGATCTGTGACGGCACTTGCCCGAGCAGTGCGGCTCCGCGTCGCAGGTGGTCCCCGCTTCGATAACGTCGTCGCCAGGGCGGGGCGGCCGCCGACCGATCGCCTCGGCCTCGCCTTAGCGAGGTCTGTGTGAGCTGCCAGTCTCGAAGGTTCCTAGGTTCAGGTTCGGACATTAGTCGCTCTCTTCTGTTGCCGACGTTGGTTGCGCGGTTGCAACCCGCAGCTGCAGGTGCCTGGAAGCTTACGCGCTTGCTAGCAACCTGCCCTCCCTCTTCTATATTTTCTCTCTCCTTGATGCCGTTTCGCTTCGTTAGTATTGTGCTCGGATAAGCAGCGGTAAAGCACGTCGATGCGCTTTCTAAAGGGACAGGAGGAGTAATGCTCAAGAGCGATAGTGAAATCTGGCAGGAGACGGTATTAGAGATTGAGTTTCGCTGTTGAACACTGCTTGTCAGATCAGTGAGATAGACCGAGGGGTCCTACCAAAACGCCAAGTTAGGACTAGTTTCGAACCTCGCTCGGCTGTAGCGCAGTGTAGTGCTCCGTTTTAAAGCTATCCAGTGTCGTAGAGCGGGGCATCACTCGCTGTTAGGGAGCATGATAATTAGGCTGTACGATTGCTCGTTAACAATGTATTGTACACATTATTAGCCGTCCTACCGTGGGCGTTAAAATGCCCCCTCCGGGAACACCCTCGCTATACTTTCGTGTAGGGTATATTCGTAGAGACAACTAACTTATTCAACCCTGGCGTGTATTTTTTGTCGAGGGTGCTTAGCAGTCAACGCGTTCCTGTGAAAGTATGAGTCGATTCAGGCCGAGATCGAAGTACTTCAGTAGCGGACATTGGCAATAAAGAGGTGTACGTGCTTGACCCCACGCGGTACTTGTCACACTCAATCAGCAATAAATCTATTTGAACAAATTCATTATATTAAAAAGCATGACGCAATGCAAATTCAGGCGGTGACTTGGGTGCCTAACGCTTTCAAGTACTTAAATATAAAACATTTTAACTGTGACAAAAAAAAAAACTATTGACCTGGCCAGCTTGATACCATTTGTAATAATTCCGTGTACATAAAAAAAAAACTGAAAGTAAGGTTATGCACTAATTACTGGTCTCCTTTAATATAATTTGATGTCTCCCATAATGATATGGTGGTTTTGGGATGTTAGACTTTACATATCAATCCTTTATTATAATTTTTATTTAAGAATCTCAGACAGTGCCCGAGTGAGATGTACATTGAATAAAGTATTATCACAATGCTCAGTTACCATGACCCTTGTAATAACGGCAATGGGATGTCAGTAATGATCATCTTTAAAGTGTAGAAAGTTTTGCGATGATTTTTAATAATTTTAATTACTTCCAGACATCAAAAATATGAGGAGCTACGGATTGCAATAGTGTTTAGTATTTAAAAGGAGCAGCAGAACTTGGAGCACTTATGAATAATTTCCCATCACTTGTAATGCAGTAGAGGTAGGTTAATTACGAGCTGTGCTGAACAACTGCAGTTGTGGGGCTTGCCGCTGCTAAAGCTTGTAGCTGATATCTCGATTGAACGTCTTTAGAATTGACAGGGTTATGTTTAAAGAAAATCTCAGTTTTGTAGCTTTTAATGTTTCCACTCGGGAATCATCTTCTGGACATGCACATTGGTTCAACCTGCAGATGTTGCATCCTACATCTGCCCACGTTTGCTGTCTTTAAATGCTTGTAAATTAGAATAATAATGTGGTAAGGAATGGGCTCTAAACATGATACTATAGCCTAGTACTTTTGACCTTCTGTGCTCTAAGAACTTCTTTTAGATGCTCACTTTTTTTTCTTTGATGAGGCTGCATATAATAAGTGAGCCAGATGATGTAATCAGCCAACCTTATAAACTCTCTAGGTGAGTTTCGGTTGTGGACGAAGGTTGCCAGGCTTGTTTTGTCATTTACCTTCCTCAGTGAGAACAGCTAACAAATAAGAGGGAATAGCATTTTTATAGACTGTGAGCAGGGGCAGTGCCAGGATAATTTTACAAAAGGAGAAGGGGTGGGAGGCAGGGAACTTGGCCATCTTGTTATGACTGTTTCTTTCCTCTTGGAGGCCAGGTGACAATTTTTTTTTTGGGGGGGGGGGGGGGGGGGGAGACTCCAGCCTCCCTTGGTGCGGTACCCACCCCAGGTGCCACACCTGACTGCAATTTTTCAGTCTATAACACTATGCTAGTGTAGTGTAGCTACTTACATTAGCAGGCCTCAATCTGAACACATAGTTTCCAGATGCTAAACATGGAAGGGGCCATTGTGAATGGCAATTTTAGCAAATCTTCACTGTAGCTGATTTGTAACTGGAATATTGAGTTATTATTGGCAAAGCTAGACAGGAGGAAGGGAAGTTAGTTTCAGTTAAACCTGCAAATAATGGCATATTTTCATAGTCTTTTGAGTGTTTTCATGGCTGGGATGTTATAGAATCACTGCACAGGTCATTCCTGTCTATTTAATGGTACATCCCACCTAATTTTAAACGCAGTTGTTCAAAGTTAAGGATTGAAAAAGCTGCTATGGAAGCTGCACACCATTTTTTTCTTGTTTTCTTTTGTTCTCCGTTCATCTTGGAACTAGGGCTGTGCAAACATATTTCCAACTTTGAAGCTAGATCAAATATAGATATGTAAAAATTCAATCGAATATCTTCGAGTACAAATCATGCAACTACTGGCTTCTGGAAAAGAAAAGGAAAGTTTCATCAACCAGACCTGAAACAAACAAGTTTAATAATGTACAGAAATTCCATGCATATTACAACATCGTTGCTTAACAGTATAACGTATGCAGTTATTTAAGGTTTTCAAGAAAAATGGATAGCTGGTTGGTATTTCTAAAAAGCACTGACAGCGTTGTTCATGTCACCCTTTCTGCAAACAATGAAAAGAGCCATTTAGTATACACACTAATGCTGATATGTTAATCTTATCATCATATATTAATCCTGTAAGCAAGCTTGCTCAAACAGGAAGAGCAATGGTGACTGCTTGACCTGATGTTCATTGCAGGTGCCTCATATTACTTATTTATAGACATTTCTTAAATTTCATATAGGTTCCCCTTTGATCACTAAAATTACTGCTTGTTAGTTCAATAATCTCCTCAGCTTCTCACACAGTGTCATGGTTTTGCTGCTACGCTTGAACAGTGGCACATTTGCAAAGGTGCTCAGAGTAGTGGGTGGGGAAGGGGGGGTTGATTTATGTGAACTGTATCTTAATTTGTCTATTTGTGCACGAAATGATCCTAATTTGAGCACAATTATATAGTTTTTTATGTGGATTTTAATACTTGCTTTGAATTATTGCAGTGTTTGAATATTTCAAATAGTAGAAGTGCCTTGAAAATTGAATTAAATGCTGAACTATTTGAAAATAATATTGTGGTTCGAATATTTGCACACCTTTACAGGGAAACTTTTAAAAGTGCAGATGCGAGGGAATTTTCCTAAATATATCTACTATGAGAACCATGCATATTTTCTATTTGCAGTCAATGCCAAATCATGTAAAACATTCTTCAAAGTACTTTGATAGCTTTTATTGCAGAATATTGTAACAATTGTGAGGACATTATAAAGTGCAAAATTATTCATTTTTTCTTGTTTTTTTTTTTCTGCAAATGTAATGGCTATTGTAGGAGAATATAATGGTTTCCTTGCTTCTTTTAGTAAACATTTGATAGAATTATTAGTGTGGAATCATTTGTTTTGTCACTATTCAATTCATGTTTAAATATAATTGACCTTTTGTATATGCAAATACAAAATTGTGAGAATTGTCACGGTTTATTATTATCAAATATATTCACTGGCATCAAAGCTTGACCCATAAAGTAAGTATTAGCTAGTGGCTAACTTTTATGTGGTCTATATTCTTGCTGTATTCTCGTGATTAGAACCTAAATATTTCATTGCTTTGGCATACAGAAATAGTTTTTTAGCACATGATAGTGTTGCATAGCTGCAACCACGGACATGTCAAGTGTACCAAGTAGATTGCTAGGCACAGTCACTGGTGTTAAAGTAGCATGACCAAATGCCAAATAAAAGCATAACTACTTTATATTTAGCGTTACTACTTGCACTACGATATCATTGCACTCCCCAGTACCAGAAAAGAAAGTGAAAATGACAAGCTTCATTCGTGTGATAGGGCTCCTATTAGGGGGCGTCTATACCAAAATATATTCTTAAGCCAGCTGATGAAATGTTTCAATAGAATCATTTTTCTGTCAGCCAGTTTTCTATCAACGAAGGAACATAGCATGGTCAGGTCATGTAGGAGGCTAGTCATTAACGAAAACGCATCAAAGCATGCCTTTCCCACTTGGTGAATAAAAATAGTAGGAAAAACAGTTTAAAGGATTAATTGATAACTTCTTTGCTGTACACCACTTCACAAGGGAATTCAAATTTGTTCGTAAATTAGAAACTAAAACATTAGATAAGACCTCTGAGAAAAAAATAATAGTACTGATAGCAGTATTTCTCAGCCATGAAATTTCGGGGATCTTTGAGAACTGGTGAGATACTTGCCATGAGAGGAACAAAAATAAGGTGGTAGAGGGGAGGGGAGGGCACAATACAGCAGTGTAGCTGAAGTACGTGGCTTTTATATAAATTGTTCTCTACAGACCCCTCTGGCTTCTGCAGAACCCTGTTTGAGAACCATTGACCTGTAGTATAGTGTGTATACTTAGTGGAAGGCAGCTCTTTCATTGAAACAAAAGCATAACTACTTTATTTTTAGCATCAGTACTTGCACTACAATATCATTGCACTCCACAGTAACAGAAAAGAAAGTGAATATGACAAGCTTCATTCGTGTGACAGGGCTTCTATAAAGGAGCGCGTGGATGAAAATATATTCCTATGCCACTGATGAACAATTAAAAAACGCAAAAGGGGCATTAAAGTAGATCCTTGGGGAAACACATGATATATGATTATTTTGATGCAAGGAATGTCATTTTTCTCTTTTTTGTTTTCCTGCCAGACAGAGTTCCAGCTTTGTTGTTTTTACTCACTCTCTGCTTGTCACAATTAAAGATATTATTTGTATTCTTTCTTTTCACACTAAGTCAAGTTTAAAAGCTTGACAGTACTCGAAAAAAAGTCAGGCTTAGTTCTACATTCTAGCCTCATGCTTACAATGCTTCAAGTTCACTATACTTAGTAAACTCTGACCAATTAATAAAGTTGACACCACAAAAGCTCCAGCCCGACCTGTCTTTTGCATTGGTATGTACTTTCTTTAATCATGGTAGTTCTCTATAAAAGAATGTTTTAGCTACAGCTGGTGAACTCTACAATAGTAAATATTTTGGTGTAAATTGCAGCTTTACGTTTTACTGTATCATGTACTGACAGACATGGCTGTGCAGTGTTTACTGACAAATATTGTCAACGTGGAATGAGCGCCTGAACGTCAATGGTTTTCGAGTTGCATAGGGACACACTTCTCAGTCTAAAACTCATGGTTTCGACGATGCATTGAGTAGGCACTCATAGCGCTCTGCTCTCTTGTCAGGCATCGGCGTCAGCAGCGTCGTCTGGCTCGAGTGTGGAGCCAGATGTGGGCCACTTCCAGCCAATGGTGGCTCTGCTGTGCGGTCACGGGCGGCTCAGCAACCAGTACCTGAGTGAGAATCAGCGATGGGTCTCCGACCCTGACCCCAAAGCAGTCTGCACCCGAGAGAAGCTCAGCATCCTCGAGTACTGCCGGAAGGTGGGTGAGCCTTTACCAAGAATCGTGGCCCAACTATTCAGTTAAGATATTTGCAATATGGGAGGTCCCTTAAAGGAACCATCTGAGGATGACTGTTGACATTGATGCATTAAACATTGAAGCACTGTAACAACACATTAGATTGCAACTGCCAAAATACGTAACATACATGGTATGTGCAGTGCCACCTAGTGGCGATGCTGCAGTATTTGCATTTGCCTAAATAAGCTAAGATGAGGTTGGTTGGTTGTTTGTTTGTTTATATGTGTGTTGTTTATTTAATAATGCTGCAATTACTGCTGACCAAAGTCACATATAACTAAGAATGCATGCCTTCTTGGCATTACCTCCAAAATAAAGCTCACCAATAAATCCTTCTGATCAGAGACAATGAGACACTGCATATGCCAGTTGCCTGGTGCACAATTAATGTATGTCAGTGATAAAGGCAAGCAATACAAACAAAGACGATTGCTAACGCTGCAGCTCTGCCTAGGTTGCTTGAGTGCCAGTGCATGCTGCTTATTCATTGCCTACTTGTCCAAAGAATATGTCCCTGCAGTTAACTAAAGGTTAACCTCACAGGTGTACCCCAAGCGCGACATCCGCAACATAGTGGAGTCAAGTCGCTACTACCGCCTCGATGGTTGGTGCAAGGCAGGCCAGCGCTGCTCTAATGGGGAGGGCAGTGTGCACTGGGTGAAGCCCTACAGGTGCCTCGAGGGTGACTTCCAGAGTGACGCCTTGCTGGTGCCCGAGCACTGCCTCTTTGACCACATACACAACCAGAGTGTGTGCCAGAGCTTTGATGAATGGAACCGCACAGCAGCGCAGAGCTGTCGGGGACGCGCCATGCGTCTGCGCAGCTTCGCCATGCTGCTGCCTTGCGGTGTCGACATCTTCTCCGGGGTGGAGTTTGTCTGCTGCCCGCCTGCCTCGTCGCCATCGTCTGACAGGGACTCGCAAGGTGCGTATGCTGCACTGTATCGTTGCTGTATTCCGGTGATCTCGAACATGCAAGTGGAATATATGGCGGTTACTGAGTATTGTCCGTTGTATTGGCCATCAAAAGAAGACAGACATGGAATCCTAATATGGTGGCGAAAATGAATTACTGCTGTACTTCATTATTCAATCATTTAAGATTTATATTTAACAAATTCTCAAGACAGGATTCACCCACAGAACTTATGAATGCTAACTACATTGAGCCACTCGATATGAGAAGACAGAAACGCAGACTGGAATTTCTTAAACTAGTTTACACGAAAAATGCACCCCTAGACTCATCATTATATCTGTCGCCCCTATTAACCCGAACCACTTGTCACTGTAGACAAGATGCATTAACACCCTACTTCGCGAGAATGAATACATTTAAAAATTCTTTTTCCCTCGTACAATAACTGAATGGAATTGTGTAATCGAATTGACACAGAAATGCTGAATATTATTAATTTGTTTGCATAGCGTTTCGCCAAACGTATTGACTTTATTTCTGTATTAGTGTTCTTGTTTCATTTATTCTTTTCGTTTTCTACATGTTCACTGTTGTACCATTTTAATTTGCTCTCCCTGCTTGGACTACGTGTCTGCAGTATTGGATAAATAAAAATAAAATAAATCAATAAAATAAGTATAGATGAAACGTGAATTGGCAATGATTTGCAACAAGAGGCCATTTTTGTTGCAAGAGGGAGGCACACCAACCTTTCTGCGATGCAAGTGGTCCTAATTGTGATTGAGCGAGAGCTGCAACTATCCGTGTGGTCACTTCCTTGAGTTGTTGCCTGCACATGGGGGAAAAAGGGCAAAGGTCATTTTTCATGGCTCAGGCATGTACTATAGTATCGAGAATCTGAGCATGTGCATGAATGTTCAACCAACATAAGGAATGACTGCAATTCTGCATTAGGACGATAGTGTGGGAAGAAAAGATTCAATCTTTACTGATGCTGTGGTTCTCATATTGCTGCTTTTAAAGGCACACAAGTTCTCCTTGCGTAGGGAATGCTTTTATCAGAAAAAAACTTGGAAATTAAAAATAATGATGCATTAAAAAGAAAAATTAATATTGTAAGAGAAAACAAAAGCTTTATTGCATTCTCCTTGGGCAGCAGCATTAATGAGTTCATGTTTTCGGTCATTGTTACACTGCAATCTAGCAATAATACCGTGTATTTGCATTGATTTGTTTTTTCTGTCTGTCATCTACATGCACTTGTTCACAATGCAGGCAAACGAACATGTTTCAAGCAACCTTTCTAAGCTATGTTGGCAAACCATAAATTTAGCTTAAATATTCAGATGGAGCTCTGAATTTTTCTATTATGCAACCTAACACGTAGTAATATATTATTAGTTGAGTATAAACTGATGTGATTCTTCCGATAAAGAGCTGACACCAATCAAGTGCACAGTTGTAATGTGACCCACTATTCATTGGCAACTGGTGCAGTTTGTGTTCGTTAAATGGGTCCTGAAATGCCTTTTATGAAAGGTATGACTAGATGACTGTGTGACTATTTTCGAACTCTGCCGTTTTAATGCCTTGTATTAATTGGCTGTTAGACGTTGCTGACGTTCAAGGCCTTTCTGCCCCACAATTTGTCATTTGGACTGCACTAAAATATTATGGCAGAAAACGAAAGCAATGTACAACAACCTCGGAATAAAGCAGCGCTTCGAGATAGGTAATAGTGCACTTCAAGTTGTAAAAGACTATGTCTAGTTGTAAAAGACTAGGGCAGGTAATAACCGCGGAGCCAAACCACGAGATTGAAGTAACTAGAAGAATAAAAATGGGGTGGAGCACATTTGGCAAGCACTCTCAAATGATGACAGGTAGATTGCCACTATCCCTCAAGAGGAAGGTATATAACAGCTGTATCTTGCCGGTACTTAGCTATGGAGCAGAAACCTGGAGACTTACAAAGAGGGTTCAGCTCAAATTGAGGATGACGCAGCGAGCAATGGAAAGAAAAATGGTAGGTGTAACACAAGAAGAAAGCAGAGTGGATTAGGGAGCAAACGGGGGTTAAGGGTATCATAGCTGAAATCAAGAAGAGGAAATGGACATGGGCCGGGCATGTAGCGCGTGGACAGGATAACCGCTGGTCATTAAGGGTAACAAACTGGATTCCTAGAGAAGGCAAGCGGGTTAGGGGGAGACAGAAGGTTAGGTGGGCAGATGAGGTTAAGAAGTTTGCGGGTATAAGTTGGCAGCAGCAAGCACAGGACCGGGTTAACTGGCGGAACATGGGAGAGGCATTTGTCCTGCAGCGGACGTAGTCAGGCTGATGATGATGATGATGATGATGATGAAAATATTATGTGTGGCTTTGCCCATGTGGAATAACAGCCATCATACTTTACTTTTGCATTTGGACCTACCATTTCAGCATCTGATCTCTGAGGTTATTCTGCAAGTTATCACCGGTGGCGCCGTCTGTACCATCACGTCATTACCATCCCATCAATGATGTTGCTGCGTCGCTTTCGGTTCCGGCTTATTGATAACATTAAAGGTAGTCTGGCCAATTATTCAAACAAAAAAAATGGTCTCCTGAAAAAAAAAAACTAGTCTCCCCTCAAGTTCAGGAACAATATTGTATTTTTTGCGATACTATAGTGTGTAGCGATAGAAAAACTAATGTTAAATTTCCAAAAGATACGGCAGCTAGCCTTTCAGAATAGGCTTTGGAGACCTAAAAAGTGGAAATCAGATCACATGTGCAGTGCACCTGTGCTGAAATATCGCTCCGTTGTGCAGGAAAGGACACTTCTAGTGAGGATGACTACGACGACGACTACAGTGATGAGGATGATGACGATGATGAAACCACGACCACCACAACCACCACAACTACCACAGAGGGACCAGTGGAGCAGTACCTTAGTCGTTACGACAGCCGACATGAGCACGCAGCATTCCGTGCGGCGCAGCACAGCCTCCAGGAAAGCCACCGGGCGCAGGTCAGTGGCTTAGTACCGTCTGACTTAGCGTGTGCTTTGTCAGCTTGGCTCATCAACAGTATCAGGTGCCTGAGCAGTAGGCATCCTTACTTGGTAAATAAAAGATTCATAAGCCGAAGTGATATTTTTTCATTGCGATAATATTTGCTGCAAAATATAGACAGAGCCAGGAACCCTTTTCTCCATGAATGATGAGGGATGGTTTGTTTCCTGTGCGCTTAGCTATACCTCTAGGCATCAGAGATACTGCAGTAATCTTGGAACCAACTCTTTGATTAACGAAGCTTTTAAGCACTGGCCAGCAATAAACACTTCCTTGGTTCATTTTGGCCCAGTAGTAGGCTTTCGTTGGGTGTGCATTGTGTGCTCTACTACATAGCTGTCAGGCAACGTAACGCAATTCATTCTGTATGATTGACTCAGGTGACACGGGTGATGCGGGAGTGGAGCGAGTTGGAGCAGCATTATCAGGCAATGAAGGCACGGGACCCGAAAGGCGCCGAGGAATTCCGACGCAAGATGAGTGCACGATTCCAGAAGACGGTGCAGGCCTTGGAAGCCGAGGGGTCGGCTGAGCGGCACCGCCTGGCAGCGATGCACCGGCAGCGGGTGCTCACTACCCTCAACCGGCGCAAGAAGGCAGCCCTCGACTGCTACCACCATGCGCTGCAGGAAAAGCCACCAAGGGTGAGGCAGTGGTCCAATGTGCTTCGTCTGTGTGCTCTCATTTGAGTTGGTATAAGTGTCTGTGAGGAGTGTGGTGGCGAACACAAACTCACGATGTAGGTGTTCAGTTGTTAGACTGCGCTTGTGTCGTGTACTTTCATGTTTTTCGTGTCCTTTTTTTCGTGCTGACCATCGGGAGTATGTATGTTCTAATTAGCTCCACTTGATACATTAGTTCACGTCCAGAACCAGTTGATGTCGGTGTCGCGAAGTACTGAGTTTCGCATGCAGTTAACTGCGTGGCACACATTTTTAAATTTATTTTCTGTGTAGTGTAGGTTACATTAGTAGGGGTGTGCAAATATTGGGAAATTTTGAATAACAAATCAAATGGTATGCTATTCGATTCAGTACTTAAATAGTGCATATTCAAAATAAGAAAAATTTTTCTGATACTTTTCTTCAAGTATTGAGCACCAATAGTAAAATCCCAAAGGAATGAAACGTTCAAAAAGCAAAGGGTCATCAGTTCCTCGATGTGTTGTAATAATTGAAGGAAGGGATTACGGCTGCACTCAACTTCAGAAGAGTAAGATTTTCACTTGAGTACATGAATAACAGAACCAGGTGTTATGTCCACGCTAATTGTTCTTGAAGCTACAGTATTCAGCACTGATGGTTAGTTGCTTTTGGTGTGAAGGCACTTGTGATAAGTGGCTTATCTGTTTTATTACATATTTAGTAGGCTTGTGAGAATAGTAAAATTTGTGTTCGAAGCTTATTCAAAGCGAATAGCGGTTTTGTCCAAATAATTTCTAATCAAATTTGAATAGTATACATCGCATATTATAAAGAAAAATGAGCATATTTTGTCATGACCCAACTAACCTACGCAACATTTTCTTTTTTAATTCAAACAAGGCTCGAGCGAATGTCATTTTTTTTTGTTGTTCAAAAAAAGTGGTAGTAGCTGAATGGTAGCAGGATTTCACTTGCAGTTGAATGCAAGTTATAATGTGTAAAACACCGTACATCATGAACTTTACTATACTTAGAGATTATAAGCCGGCATAGCAAGCATTTAGAAATACACTCAAACCTCATTATAACAAAGTTGCATCTTACACGAAAATAAGTTTGTTATATCCAAAAAATTCCTTATGAAGGTTTATTCTTAACGCTATATTTATTGCAAGACTATTCTTCACTTACTTTGTTATAACCAGTATTTTGTTATATCCGAGTTCATTATATCGAGGTTTGAGTGTAAATGTGAGGGCAAATGTGAAGGTAACACTCTCCACCAAATGTAAGAATACTGTTAGACGCCACGCCGGGGTGAAGCAACCGTTCTATGGGCCTAACAGCACCGAGACAGCAACCAGCGGTTTCAGCAGCTCCGCCACCACAAGCGTCTTCTTCGTCGTTTCTAAAGCAGAGCCCGTATTTGTCACTACAGTTCATTTAATTTAGTTGTCATCATTAATTCTTGAGTGTGGAGTCCAATGCTTGATACATTAACTTTTTTTTCTCTTGTGTTACAAAAGCTGTAAATATATATTTATTATCAATTATGTATTGTGTAACCCCCCTTCTGTAGTGCTTTTTGGCGCTGAGGGAAGTCTGATGAATAAATAAATAAATTTAACTTTGCAATGGGGCTTTGTGGCAGTGTAGATGCTTTGTGGCAGTGTAGATTATCCTTGGAAAGGTGTACTTACAGTATAGTACCTCTCTACTGCAGTGAAATTACCTTTAAAGGGGTGTTACATATGGACTTCTATACTTCTATTCATTCATTTTGTTTGAAATTCACACTAATTTAATTGCGAATCGAAGTTAATCAAAATACATAAAAATTAGTTTTCGTTCAAATATTTGCACAAGCCTAATATTTATATATGTGTTCGGTTCAACATTGTTCAATTTTTATGTCAGTTTTATTTAAAAGTTGTAGACAAAACAGCACCTTCAATATGGCAGTCACTTCTGTATTTCAGCCTACAATTGGTAAATAGCTTGCAGACTGAAGTTGCTGCATTAGGCGAGGTTACCGCAGCTTCGATATTTATGGTATGTTTTGTTGATTAAAGAAACCGATTTTTTTTTTTTTTGTTCAACTTGCAAGTATTTGTTTCAAATAATATTTTCTAAAATAGCAGGGGTCTACTGAGAATGTTTGCTTTACTATTCAGAAACTATTCGGATAGTATTAGTCATGTTTGTATTCAATACAGTTTCACCGCTAGGAGATTTGTATTCGATTAAGTTCGAAAATTCAGTATTTGCTTGCCACTATACTTTAGGCACTGATATTTTGATGATGTTTGTGTCCATGTAAGTCTGACAAGTTATCTTGGTTTCGAATCTCCATGTCAATATTCATTTAAGACATGCCACAAACACAACTTGAGCCTCCTTTCCCTTTATTGAATTTTGTATCTTATGTGAAAATTGAAAATTGTCAATTGACAACCTCAGGGATTACTTTCCCTCTTCCATTACATGGTATGTCATACGGTGCTTTATGTTAGTGTTGAGTGTATGCTGCATGGCAGGCTTTCCCCATAAGCACTGCCTGAAACTAAAATCCTTCAAGGTAATCAGTGCAGCTACTTTATGTCTCCATTTTCACAAAATGCCTTTTGCACCAGTGTGAAGCGTACCGAAGTTTGGTTTCATCACCCATGTGGCTCTTTCACGTGAAACGCAGACCAAGCGTGTGGAGCGTTGCCTGGAGCGGCTTTTGCGTGCTCTCGAGAAGGACCGCAGCCACACGCTGCACTCGTACCGGCAGCACGGAGGGGATGCCGAGGAAGTGCGGGCCCACCTGACTTCACTGGACCGCCTCGCCAACCAGAGCCTGGACATGCTGCCCCAATCGCTCAAGACCCGCCTTGGCCAGCTGTGGAGCACGCTGCGGGGGGCCACCAGTAGCGAACCTCTGCTGCCACCCCCACCACCACCCCCGACCACAGCTGGTACGCCTTGCTTGGACCAAACTCTTCACTCAGAGTAGCCAAAAAAATCAGACATAGCTGATAAATCGCGTGACGAAACATGGCAGTTATTCACAGTGAGCACCAATAAACTAACACGGTGATGTACACCAATTGCAGAATGCTGGACAATGAAGTAAAACGGTTATTAATTTACATACTGAGAAGGCTGCATAAGTATGCACAAACCACCAGTACTATGAAACTTCTCTCATTCTTCCCGCTAAGCACGGCAATAATTCAACCGTCTAGTGCGACCATGCGATAACAATGTCCACCCCAGAAAGCACTTCAGGACTACGACGGGTAACGAGGTAGCAGGGTGGATAATTCGCTTATCTTTCCTCAGTGCATGTGCGTGTGCGCCTGTAAAGTAATACGCTACTGAGCAAAAACCAGCTGTGCTTCTTCAAAATGCAATTCCTACTTCTATTTTGAGTTGATGGTGGCCTATTTACGCCATTGTAAGAATACTGTTTTTTTGTTTGATCTTGTAGGTTTCAAGAAGACTTGTCTATCAAGTTTTACTCATTATGTTGTTATAATGCTTGAAAATGGGAGTTTTGTTAGTTGAAAAGTACCTCTTATCTGTTTCAGGTTAGAAAAAAGTAGAACAGCTTGCACTAAGTCATGCAAGGCTGGGTCACAGCAGAGCTTGTGGGAACCCGGGTTTTCCGGACTTTGCTAGGCTTTACTCTTTTCCACCTCCTAGACACAATATTATTGAGGACAAACAAATAAAATGAGCCCTTTAATGTACGCGCCTTTCTTTCCCACCTCCTCTTGCAATACTTATTATACATGGCTATGCTTGCTCTTCTTCTTTTTTTTAAGTCTCTGCTTTTTCATCTTTTTCTCTCTGTGCCTGCAGGCAAACCTCAGACATAAGGATCTGCTATTTAAAGCTCCTATAGCACGTACATATTTGCCACAGAAATTTGGCAAATCCTACTACTGCTCACCAAACGGGTTCATTAAGTATTAACAAGAGAACACACAGGCGGCAAGCACCACTAGTTGCAGCTTCTCTTGCCGACCATTTGTTCCGAGCGCTTGGGCGATGATTCATGATGACAAGTATTCTCTGTCTACGAAACACGGCAGACCTTGGCTTTAACACTCAGTTGTAAAAGATTTTCTCAAAATCGCGAACTGACACTAGAGTCTTTTTTAACTACTCACCAAATATATGCATTGTGAGACAGTCACAATAGCTTGTTTTGTATGGTCGTGAGCAGTTTAATCTCTCAAGTGAGCTTGCTTCCATTTTCTTGGTTGGGTTAACTTACAAGTGTTTGAGTGGAGGGCAGGACGCACTTTTTTTTACTAAATTATTGTATTAGTGCATCGTATAGACGCTGCACTACATTCAGGCCTAGAAGCAGCACTTGTGTGCTCTGCAGGGGTGAATCGCAATTTGTTCTGGAATGTTCAGTCCACACACCTTGTTGATAGACCTCTGTGTCTCATTGCAGAGGACTCCGAGTCTGTGGAAGACGAGAGCATCTTGCCAGCCAGCAGCAGCACGCCAGCCCCTCCGGTTGCACAAATGGCCCCTGCGGCACCGACTGCTCGACCGGCGCATGCCCAGAGCCAACTGCTGCAGCACGCTGAACCTGCGTACACACTTCGGCGGCCCTCGCATGCTGATGCGTTGGGCAGGCTCAAGTGGAGTGGCAGCGTCTATATCACACTTGCCTTTGCTGGAGTTGCACTACTCACCGCACTGCTCGTTGGGGCGGTGCTGCTCAGACGCCAACGCTCACCCCATGCTCGTGGGTTTGTACAGGTCAGTCCAGGCTGTAGGACTTACTTTCAGTGTAAAAATGCCTCTGCCATCTCTAGCTTTCTTATCTATACGTTTGCTTCGATAGCACAAAGAAATGAAGCTAAGCCTCTAAGATTCTCTTCTTAAGAAAATAAGATGCAGACTATGCGTTACCCATCGCTGTATAACCTCATTACAAAAGACTTCCCTTGTTAAGACGTTTTTGCTCTGTTGTAAAAGGAGTATGTAAAATCCAGGTACTGTTACAACAAACTTTTATGTAAACATTGAATAAGTCTGTTTTAGCCAGAGAGAATCGCCAGTGGTAAACAGATTTATTCTCACTGAGGGCATGAAATATTTACTTTTTGAATATCATATTTACAGCTTTGTGGCCCACTTTCTATCCGATTCCAAAGTATTGTGAGGTATTCAAACGACTCGGCTCTGGAACTCTGCAGTGGATGCCTGAAACCGACACCCAGCACCTCCACCAAAAAGTTGTTACGGGGAAGATTTATGTGTTGACAACTAACGCTGCGCAGAGCGCACAGTATTGCCGACCAAGCGGGCAGCTTGAGCATTCAACCCACAACAACAACATAGTGGTCTTTCTCATTTTGGGTGTCGTTTCAGCGCTTGTGCCAGAGTCAGTTGCATGTACGTGTCAGTATATTCACTGAAACCTACATAGAAGTGCTGTAATAAGTTTTTGTGCCTGTAAGTGGCAAAAATTATTGCTGAACTATAAAAAAAGAAGCGTTTTTTCAGAAAATCACAGCTCCGGTACTAGGGAGCCTTCATGTGCACGCCTCCTTGCGAAGACGCACACATTTAAAGGCTCTGCAGCAGCACTACCTTCTAGAGACTTCCTTCTAGGGCACTACCTTCTAGTAGCACAATTTTCAAACTATTATTTTGTGGACACTTTTTTTTTTCCCTCAGCTTCAACAATAAATATCGCTACTTAGGTAGGTGCAAACAACTTTTACAGCACTTTTACGCAGTTTTCAATGAAGATATTTTGGAATAGTAAAGAAGAGCTACATAAACTGAAAATTTGGTTTTCAAAAAGTCTATTTATGCCCTCGTTGAGAATAAATTCGTTTGACCTGTAATGCTCCTTGATTCTCACAGACCCATTCAGTGTTTTCATTGAAGTCTGTTGTAACAGTACTTTGATTTTACATACTCTTTTTACAATAGATCAAAATTATTTTCACTGTACAGGTCTGTTGTAATAAGGCTATACCACGATGAGTGTCCACTTGTACTGTGTGCTGTACTGCTGACTTAAGTGGCTCTGCTAGTTTGAACTGAACAACGAGGTTCGACTGTACTAGGTTTCCCTTTCATGTTCCTATCAAACTTTTATGGCTTGTTTTTTAGACGTCAGCCTTTTAGTTTCTTTATGACACATGTAGCTCAACATAGGCTTTTATTGTCCAGTGCCTTCATCGGACACTCACTTGTGAACATTGAAAGCACCCTTTTTTTGTTTGTGGAGGTATTCTGTTTGCTTACACTGTGCTTGCGATGAGACACACATTCGTCCAGCTGAACTGCGTTCATCCTGTGTCTACTTCTGCTGTGGTGTCTCGTATCAGCAGTTTAGGTTTAGATAATATGTCTTACCAACTGGCCCCCAGACTCGCTCTCCTTGTATGCAGAGAGCAGCTTGCGTGTGCATACAGAGTGCTAGTTCTGTTACCTTCCTGCTGTGCACATACAACTTGCCCAACACTGGAATTGGCATCGATGTGTTTGCTGCTTTCTGTTGCAGGTGGGAGGAGGACCCACGGCCTCTCCAGAGGAGCGCCATCTGACGGCCATGCAGGTCAATGGTTACGAGAACCCCACCTACAAGTACTTTGAGGCCAACTGAATACAACACACCATGACCCTCTCTCTTCCTGTACATAGGCTCCGTTGCGGCCGCTTAGGCGTCTTAAAGTCCGAGAGCAAGGCTGGCGCTAAAGGGACATGGCCCGGGAGAGGAGCAGATGACAGTGGGAGTAGCCAGACTGGGGTAGTTGTTGTACCACTTACGAGAGGGGTGTGACTTATGTCAACAAGACCATGCAAGGCACTTAGCTTGAGACACTTCTTCCCAAGAGGCAGCATTAAATGTGCCCCCTAGGACAAACTCGTGGAGCAGTGGAGTGGAAACTGCACTCTGCATCTAGCGAATTTCTAGCAATGTGTTGGCAGCTCGTGTGTGTGTGTGCAAATGAACTTTTCGTCCGCAGTCTCCACTTCACTGCAGCACAGAGATGTGCTCATGTGCAGAACTGAAGCTTAGTAGCCACCACCAACAAAAGGATTTTAATTGCAGCTGAAAAAGAGGGTCACAAGAACAGCGTGCTAAATAATTTATTTGTAAAGCGTGCGTGTCTACTTAAACAAATTTCCTTCCTTCACTTTTTGTTGTGAAAGACGCGAAATTTATTGAGCCAACAGGAGTGACTGACACTGTCAAGGCAGCTTAGCTAGCTGTCTCTGTCGGAGAACAGACTATGGATGTTGTGTACTTGTGTCAAGTTGCTTGAATAGGAAACTGAAGGGCCGGAGCGTGGGCAAACGGGAATCCTCGGGTATGTGGCATACCACTTGCGTTCTCCGCTCCTCTTCCGGTTGCAGTTTCCGTAGTGCCAGTTCAGTGTTTTCTTTTCTCGAACCTTGAGGTGTCGCACCACCAACGAGCCGAGCTTTCCAGCAGCTAAGGCCTAGGCATCTTTTTTGTACAGGTTGTCCAGCGTTAGTGCCTCTCTGCATGCCCCCCCTTCTCCCCTAACCGGAAGTGCGTGTGTGCGTGCATGTGTTTGGTTGAAGGCCAGCAGCATCGTAGGGCTTGTTGCAAGGGCAGTTTGTGTGGTCATTTTGTCTCAGTGAACATATCATACGTCGAGTGTTGCCACCCTGTGTCTCCGTATGTTCGTCTCTGCACACGGCCCTGCCACCTCTCTTCGCTTCGGCTTCGTGCAAGTGTTCTACCCTTATTTTGCAACACAAGGTCACACAAGTGTAACCCACTCTGTGTAGTGTATTTGAACAAACAGGCTGACAATAAAATTTTGCGGCTCGGTGAACTGCCTGCCTTGTTTGTTTTTTACCAAAGGATGAAAATGTTTGAAGACAGGCATATAGCGTAGATATGTGTAAGCAACAAAAGTATTCTCTTGTCAAACTCACTTACAAATCTCACAGACTTGCAGTCACAATATATATATACATTGTATTAGCAGCAAAGGCTCTTGAGCAATCCAACTGGCCTGGAAATGACTTAATTATTCTGTATATTAGAAAAATATTTTCATCTTGGATGCATCTTCTTTCTAATTCAGTGCTACTGCAAGAGCCAGAGACACGAGTACAAATGCTATTGCACCTCTTATTTGCTTAGAAAGGCAAACGCAAACACATGTTTCGGAAATTGTAGCCAGGCCGGAGCACATGCTGGAAACACCATCAGCTTGAAAAAAGAACAAGGCGCGAAATTTACGGCTTACCTTTTTTTTTCTCATTCTAAGTTTCTCACTGGGTGCATCAAGGGTCGCAGCAATACGTCCGCAGTGCGATTATCGGCCAATACACGCCCAACGTGTACGTACACGTAAACACACGCGTACCTGTACTTACTGCTCCGCGCTGAGCCTCTAACATGGCGGCTATGCACGCGACGGCCGACAGGAGGCAGCAATTTTGCACGCGGCTTGCAATGTATGATTATATCTCTAACTAGAAGTCTGCCTCTGTTTTTTCTACAAATGATATCGTATAACCCAAATGTACACGACAAGCCATGTAATTATATTCACGGCCATAAGCTTAATTGAAGATCGTGCGCAGCATAGTTACCCTGGCTGCCGCGGGATGCCGCCACGTACCCACGTGCTTGCTTGCGATCACAATATAAGTAAGCCGCGCGTTAGAAAAAAGAAAGAAAGAAGCCAGGACGCGCTGACTAACGGGTGTAAATATTTATTGCGCCCCTTCGTCATCCCCGCGCACTCGCCAGTATGAAATGAAGCAAAGCGTTGAAAGCATGCGTCATATCCATATAACTCCGAGCGTACTTGATTGAATGAATGGATGAATAAACTTTATTTATAGTCTGGCAGTTTTCACCGGGTGAGGTAGGGGAAGAGGGGATTAACCCCTGTCCCTTCCCACTTTCCGTCGATGATGATGGCGGTGCCTATATGAGTATCTGGAAAATTCTGCAGCTAGGGCCCATCTCCATACGACGAGCGCTCTGGAAGCTAATGCAAGGCGGTTGCTCTCTCCGACTGTGATTCCCAGTAAGTCACCTCGACAGTTTCTTTCGTCGGCAAGAACGGCTTACAATTTTATTCACGAATTAGATGACCTCCTTTTTGTCAGTATTTAGTCTCTTTTGCTTTCACTGCCCTAAGGAGGTTATATATAACCTCCTTGCACTGCCCCAGCATAGTGTTTTGAAAAAAATCAGCACCATTGCTTTCATTGGACTGCATGGGTGAAGCTTTTTACCGAAAAAAGTGCCAGGTGTTGAGCCATTTTCTACCCATAGCTATGTTCTACCTCTTCCTGTTGTTTATGCACCTCTAATTGTCCCCTGTGCCCTCAAGTAACAGAGAGCCGATAAGTTGGGCGGGTTGGTAACCTTTCAAATAATTGCTGTCAGCGCCTGTCCCCTCTCTTGGTTCTGGTTATTTAGTGCATTTCAACGAGTCAATATTGCCGCAAAGAGCTATAGCTACCCTTTAGAATGTTCTTACATTATTTCATTGACTGATTTTTTGAAGACTTTCCAAGCCCTCCTCACCTATCGATGCTAGCTACCCCTAAGCCTACCTGTCAGAGAACGAGAATGACTTCATTATACCGGGAGCTTTGTAAAATCAGGCTTCGTTAGAGTGAATTGTAACTGCATCTCCAACGGGATGCTCGAGCGTGCACATTTGTACATAGCGCAGCCATTTTTTTAGACCAGTGGTTTTCTTCAAAAAACAAAGCACAAATAGTAAGTCTTACAATTAGCTATTTTAAACAGAAAACAGAATTACAATACTATTACTATATCTTATTGCAAAACTTGTTAACAAAGGAGTAATACATGTTTTAAATCTTGAACACTTACCATTTGACATTAGCTTTGTAGCGTCCTCTATGAATTATTCAATTGTGGCTGGTCAATGCCAGGCCTGCTCGAATTCGGTGACAGCGGGGTGATGTCCGCCTCTGGTGGGAATGAGACGGCTCTGCTCGGAAGTTTCGCCCGAAAGCAGGTGAAGTACGGCAGCACCTGCAAGTATGTCTCACGCAGCAGCAAGACAATTAAGCACGTCGTGCAGCCGGGTGACACTCTGCAGGGCATTGCGCTGCGCTACGGAGTCACGGTGAGCATCGCTCAGGCGGTCGACGACCCAGACTGCCCCTACAAAAACGAAACTGCCGTCTTTACGCAAGGAATCGCTGTTGCAACTTCCACGTATCTTTGGAGAGGATCGGCCAGTACTCGTAAAAACGAATTTTGAGCTATGTATTCATGAAGCTAGACAGGAACACTGTACGCGCCGTTGTTCGGTGTCACAGTGTACGCTGTAGACGCGCAACTTAGTTCTGATAAAAATGCGATAGGTCGAAGTAGGAAGTAGCATTACTACTTTTGGAGTAACAGGGGATCGAGCCCCAGTTATATGTAGGTCGAGAAGGATGTGCTGCGTCAAAAGTGGGCTTAAAGCTAAAAGTGTGCCGGGCTCTAGTTTCCAGCTGCGCCTTGTCGAAGGTGTGGCTCATTAGATAAAAGTTGGCGAAGCGCGTACGGAGTGCAATCTTTAGAGCTTACGTCCCGCTCGAGAAGTTGTTGATAGTTTTGTTTGTCACGCGCTTGAGACGTGCGCTGCTTGCCGCAATCCTTGCATTATGTAAACTGAAGGAAATAGCGGCAACAGAGAACACACGCCATTGATGCACCACGTATCTCTCTTGCCTCGCATGAACCTACTATACGGCGTTATCATAGATATGAATTTACTTGACATCATAGGAAGCCGCCAATCTGTTCTGCTAGGAGAGTAGAATGTATACAACTTCTCCCTGAACAAGCAGGTCCATCATGTTCCTTTACTTCAAAGTTACTTCAAAGTTATAGCTGTGCAGTCTGTGATATTCTTTTCAAAGGTTCGCAAGGGCTTCGCGGCAGTACCACCATCGTTTTGTTAATCAAACGTAGCTCTTTATATATATATATATATATATATATATATATATATATATATATATATATATATATATATATATATATATTTACAGGGTCTCAAATTTGCACCTTTGCTGAACTGGTGGCATAAGTGAAGAGAATCGCTGGTAATTTTGTCGTTTTACCAAGCTGCGCAGCAACTCTGTATGTGCTGTCATAAACGCATCCTTCTGGAGATGGCTGCTTGCCGCTTTTTCCAGAGCAACACAGATAGCGGCTGCAGATAGAGTTGCATCCTCGTTGCCGTATCATGTGGTCTCTGTTATACTCGGTTTCAGCGGATGTACATATATTTTTATATTTTCATCAGTACTTTATCGCTTGCATGGTAAAAATGAAACTCTTGAGGCATTACATTTTCACCATGTGCTTTGATTTACTTGAAGGCCAGTTAAAGTGCTGGTTTTTGGTGGCAATAAAATGGAAACTGAGTATTCGTGAGCACCTTGAATGTACACTGTCAATTTAGGCATGCCCGTACGAGATGTTAGGGATGCTTGTAGGTAGCTTTGTAAGTTGGAACTCTGACATGTCTGTGGGCTTAAATTTTCAGTTGTGTATTGGAACTTTCAGAAATGAAAAATCCACACCTAAGAAAAGACAGAAAAAGGTACAGAAATTGTTTTTCTACAGGATGTGATTATGCATACTGCAGTTGAAACTCATTTTAACAAAGTGTTCATGCACTGGAATTATTTTGTTAAATGAAATAGTTCATAAAATCGAGAAAAGAGTTTTTTGGTTCTTTCAAATTTAAAATTGTAATGCAGCAACACCCAAAAGCTACCATGGCATTGTTTTTGCTGGCAACCTATTTCTGCACAGGTGAAAAGCTTGCGAAAGCGGCACTGATTGGGAGCCTGTCATGTCTCCCAGACATGGAAGCTCCCACGCCTGGGCGATGTAGGCTAGCTAGACGGTCACATGCTCCTACGCCAGGCTGCCAGTATGCAAGGATGCAGCGAACAAATGCAGTGATTGTATGAGCAGGCCAAGCAAGGGAGTTCCGAGGAAAAGATCTGTGCTATCGCATAAACGAAGAAATTGCGAAAGAAACCGCCACCACCCCTAGCACGCAATGAGATGCACGTAAGAGAGCTAACAACTGGCGAGTCTCTCGTTACGAGCATGAGTATGGCATGCTATGTCGTCAAAATAAAGCTAGGGCTGTGAATGTCGGGCCTACATGCTTTAATGAGATAGTGTGAGAACACATGCCGAAAGAAAAACCTGCCTCTGTCAAAATTAGAAAAAAAAATCGCTCCTTTTTTTTTTACTCACCCTTTTGAGAAAGAACTTCGATGAACAGGGTTTGGTAGCCCAGTTACTCAATTCAAGTTGATGACACCACTGAGACCTATGGATATTTGCCGTGCTGTACAAATTTCTTCATGAAATTGGGAACATCATAAAATGGAGTTTCATTAGGTCGTATTTTTACTACAGTTGCTTCTGTTTGCTTGTTGATGTTAGTGAAACAAAACCATGAAAGAGAAGTCGGCTGCTTTCATATAAATTGTTTCTGTTGTTCATGGGTGAAACTTATTCTTTCTTTTCTTTTTTTGTTTTGCTGGTAGTGCAATTTCAGTATTGTGCAGCTGCTAACTGCACAAATCACTTCAATTTCAATAATTGAGTATGATTTGAAAAATGGCACATTCTTGTGAAATACTTATTTTGATAACAGGAATAAACACTGTTTACACTATGCTAAACGGTTTGCTTCTAACTTTAATGCCTTTTTGTACCGCCTGTGTACTTTACGCATTTGTTCATTCCTACTTGGTCCTCTCAGTACAGTATTGCCTGATTGTTCACTCTGGGAACAGCAGAATTTGTACTCATCGTTGTTCCAGGTTATATGCTTTATCGCAGTGGTTCTCAGCCATGGATGTTGTGGGGACCTCTTGTGTACCGCTAAATGGGATGAGGGACCCCTTGTAGTAAGCAAAAAGGGAGAGAGACCATAAATTAACACAGCATAAAGTATAAAATAGGGGCCTCATATTTCTGCCTGCCAAAGAAGAAACAAACTAAAATGCATCGCCAATTGGATCTTAAGGGCTGGTCAATAAATTATTCGGCCAGTAGCCACATTTTACCTGTTTCTAGCTGTGTTTTCTCTTCAAATGCGCAAGCCTAAAAAATGTTTGTTTGCAGGCATATTTTGTACATAACTGCAACAGAAGCTTTGCAATCATCTCACGAAGAAGGGTAACCACAAAACAGCCTCATCGCAATGCGAATTCACCTTATTGTAAAGCATACTAAAAAATCCACGCATCTCCACGAATCGAGTGATGACTAGCAGGCAAAGTTAGGTCCGTGATGTCATGTTTATGTCCCTTACTGGTTTAAAGGGTTTGTGCTTCTGGGTGTTTTATATTGTCCCAAACAATTATGATTGATATTAGTGTATTGTTAAACCTTTTGTTTTTGCGTCTCACATAATGTCATGTGCGTGCTGCAAGGAAGGTGACAGTGCAGATGCGCATCTGCACGTTTTACGCTGAAGGCAGTAACGAGAAAGAAGAGTGCATTCGAGCGCAAGGTGAATAAAACGACCGACCTGCTGCTGCTTTCTCTACCTGTTTAATATGACCTCTGTCTTCGCATCGTGACGATATGTTACGAGAGATTTGCCCCACATCATGTAAATTGAGTGACATCAAGGGACGTAAAGAGCTGACGACAAAGCCTGGTCCTAAGGTCCGGAATTTCTGTGTTGAAGTCGCCAACTAGGGTAAAGGGCTTGTGCTTGTAGGTGTTTTATTTTCTTCCGTCATAATTATGATTGTTAATTGTCTATTGTAAACCTTATTTTTTATTCGCATGCACACATATGTTTCGACTGTAGCAACGGTTTTCTACACACCATGACATCAGACAGTGAGTGTCGACGACAAAGCTAGGTCCTAAGGTCCGTAATGTGTACGTTGAAGTTGTCGATCAGTATAAAAGGTTTGTACTTCTGAGTGTTCTATATTGTTCTGTGACAATTATTATTCATATTAGTTGGTGTCTCACATCAGTACATCTCTCTGCGATGAACAAAGATGTGGACGGAATTACTATTGATATTAGTTGGTGTTTCACATCAATACATCTCTCTGCGATGAACACAGATGTGGACGGACAAGCCTTGACCCTAATGTCTAAAATCCGAAGTGGCCGCTGTCACAATACAATTTTTTCACAGACGGATTTCACAGTCCTCTAAAAAATGGCTTCGCGGACCCCCATTTGAGAACCACTGCTTTATTGCTTGCCGATTTTGTCCCTTGAATGTCGGCCCAAGTGCTAGCTAGTGTAAGTTCATGTTAGTGATGATTTGCTTCAGTATACAAGCCATGGTGTAGCATTCAAAGAAAGTGATTGCAAGAACGCGGGGACTTTACAGACGGAAGAGCTGAAGCGTGCAAACCGCCTCTGGACGAGTGACAGCTTATTTCTGCGGACATGGCTGGCAGTGCCTGTGGCAGAAGCAGGGCCAGCAGTGGGTGGTGCCTCGACCTCTGGTGGTGCCGACACCAATGGTGGGGACAGTGCGGGCTCTGAGGACTCTCACCTGCAATCTGACGAAAGCTTCACCGATTTCCTCGGCCGCATTGACAATTCCATCGCAAAGTCTCGCAGCCAGCTGAGGCAACTTTCACACACAAGGTGAGACAGGTCTGCTGTGAAAATTCTAGTGGAGAGTGGCTTCAACATAAGGCTGAAACTGCTGAAGTAGCCTAGATAACTAGGTTAGCACTAAACCGACCGCATACCTAGATAGGAAGACAGTGGACGTTGGAAGGAAGGAAGTACATAAAAGACGGGGTTTGGAAGCAGGACTAACTGTGCATTCATAGTCTCACAAAATAAATTCATTCTCGTGATCAGGAAATGACTCTGTAAAACAATGCAGCCTGCTTTTTTATTCGATGCAGAGCACAAATTTATTTTGAACACGTACGTCGTGCTGCAGTGGAATGTCAGAGGACCACTCCATGACCTAGACAATCTCCAAGTACTTCTAATTGAGTTTAAAAATGACTGTGTGTGCCAGAAATACATCTGAATTCCAGACACACTAATTGTCTCAATTAGTATATTATTATTCCTCAAGGTCATGGCTGCACTGTCACGTTATCTGGTGGTGTTACTATTTCACTTCACTAATGTTAGCCTGTCAGCATTTTCAATACCAAATGACAGTTGAGATGAGGGTTATTTGAGGCGTGCTTCTTTGTAAACTGATTACAATTTGCTATCCTAAAACCAGTTGCACAAATAGCAATTTCGCTTTTATTAGATGAAATGCCATAATGTTACCTTTTTGTTGGAGATCTGCTTGTAGCGCCTTGTGGGGGGACTCACAGCAATGTGCGAGGTCATCTCATTGAATATCTCATTTTCTCTTTTGTTGCATGTCTTCGGTATACGAAAAAAACATACATATTATAATCTTGCTAACCGAGCTTATCCTTCTTGTGGTCTTAAAGTTAAATGGGAAGTTATCAAATAATCCTTCAGTGACCACTTCCTAATAGTGCTGTGATCACCAGATAATGTATTTTCATGACACGCTCCTCAATTAAAAAGTTAATACAGCGGTTTTGCGGGGGGGGGGGGGGGACAAAATTAGCTTTTTTTTTTGCACGGCATTCCACTCGCCCGCAATGATGTCTGCCTTAATTTCAGCTAACGTTATGCTGTTGCTGCACACCGATGGTGAACCCGATGACAGTGTCAGTGCTCGCGTCAACTCCAAGCTCATTAGCTGTGTAGGTGCTACCTCTTCTATCTTGGTGTCAGAGTCGTCAGAAGTAACTTGAATGATTTCGTCATCGCTCGATTCTGCACACAGCTCGAGGTATTCGTCAGTGTCAGTGAAGTCCTCAAAGGTTATCCCGGCTGTAATCGAAACACCAGCAGCGTGCAGATCGTTGAAGGCAATGTCCGCAAGTGGAAGTTCGTCGCACGTGCTGCCCACTCTGGGCGGAGACGGTCGTCTCTGCATCCAGTAAGAAGCTTGCGTGGCGAAAGCAGTTTCGTAGGGTCTGTTGCATAACCCTCTTCCAAGAGTCTGCAAGCATGCCGACGGCAGATCATAGATCAACAGCGTAGCTTTTCCCGCTGTCGGAGGACAGGAGCAAAGGCGGCACAGCACCATGCGGCTGTGGCATGGCTGTGGCCACAGGTCTGAATAAGTTATGGTCAGCAACGGATTGGTGTGCACTGAATTGCAGCATTTGCGGTTTCGAGGGTACAGTCGTCACGGCGCGGTGAGTTCGAGGGTACGAAAATAATCAAAATGGCGGCGTTGATAGTGATTTCTAGTATGTGGTTAGTGGTAAAAAGTCCGGAAAATCGGATGGCAAAAGCTATAAACGTCCAGAATATTGGATGTTTTAATACATTGACTTTATAAGGAACTTGACGGGGCCACAGATGAGTCCGGTAAATCAGGCATGTCCGGATTTTCGGGCGTCCGAGAAATCGGACGTCGACTGTATGTAATGTTATGTGCGCAGAGTTTGCTGACAGTGTCTGTAACATTCTCGGACTAGTAGCAAGCTTCATGCTATTAATTGGGCCATGCAACAATTTTCGAAGTAGCTACGGAGTGGGTTTACTATGGAAGCTCATTGGCTCACGAATCCAACGCAGCGAAAATTTTTAGAACCCGTCCAGTATGAGCAGAGCTACAAATATTTTTCACAGAAAGTGCACTTCTTGACCTTGAACACTTTTTCTCCTTTTTATTTTAGTGCAATCGCGTGCGCTTGCATGGACAAGTCGCAGCCTCCCGTGGCAGCTCCAGTAACGTCCGAGTGCTCTATGCTTAAAAATGGCTGCTACAATGGCTGTGACAAATGATTCTTGAGCTTGTAGTGTCATTTGTGGACAGAAGAGAAAGCAATATTTAGCTGACTTGAAGAATTTGTTGTGAATTTCACGCAGTTTGCTGCACTAAAATGTCTGGTTCATGTGTTTTCGGGAGCCTCGACTACAGATCGGCAGCGTTTTCTGATCATGCTCAAAAAGTCTTGCAGGGCCCCTTTAAATAATATTGTCACGGTTATTAGCCGTAAGCACAAAAGGAGGAAGAAGCCAGCATCACGTGTGGCGGTCTCTGGCGTTTTCGAGGAAGACGACGTTGCGCGTCTGCTCTTGCGCTTTGTTTTTGTGTGCCAATAGAGCCTTGCTGTTAACGTCGAAAGGAAGCCTTGTGTCCTGTTTTTTGCACGTTGCGACACTGGTGGAGGTGCTGGGCTTCTACGACTGATGCTTGGGACTCCTCCGCGGTCCGGCACTTCAAGTCCGACACCGGAACCCGTTCCTTCAGTGGATACCCCTGTCCACCGCTACAGTTGCCGACAGCGAGGCCTTAGTCCTGAGGCGATTCCCCTGGAACTTTCCCAGCATAGCACTCCGCCTGAAGAAATGGCAACTGCAGGTGCTTCCCAGCTGACTTTTTACCAGCCTCAGATTCCGGAAACATTCCATGGTGAGGCGTATGAAGACGTTGAGGACTGGTTAGCCCAGTATGAGCGAGTCGCTAAGGCAAACCGCTGGACCACCGAGCTAAAGCTTTCACGCGCTTACTTTGCTTTAGCAGACAGCGCTCGTACGTGGTATGAGAACCACGAAGCAACGCTGTTTTCATGGGATGAATTTCGCCGCCAGATTCTCAGCACCTTTGCAAACAACGACCGCCATGACTTTGCTCAGCAACTCATCGAGTCTCGGGTCCAAAAACCGAATGAGAGTGTTGCCATGTTTGCGGAGGACATGACGCGTCCATTTGGACGGGCTGACCCTGATATGCCTGAAGCCAAGAAACTCTGCCACACGTGATGCTGGCTTCTGCCGCCTTTTGTGCTTACGGCTAATAACCGTGACAATATCTTTTGTAAGTATTATCCAATAGTGGCAAGCAATGAGCGCCTAGGAAAAGCATTTCCCGCAGTACTAAAGGCTGTGTATCGCAGCAATAGGAATTTTAAGGACACGTTAGTGTATGCAAAAGTAAACTCGCATTATACTGCCCAAGTAACCCATTGTTACCATCCAAAAGGCAAGACTTGAAAACACCTTCAAGGTGACATGATAGTAAAAAGCACCGGGAGTGATTATGTCCATCATATAAAATCTTGTTTTAGCTGCACTAGTGCAGACGTTGTGTATATAATCGAATGTTCCTATTCTCATAAAGAGTACATCGGTGAAATAGGACAGCCTGGTAATGTTAAACGGTCGTCGTGCAGACACTGCAAAGAAATTACAGAAAGCAGTGGCACAGCATGTTAATGTAGCAGGACACAACTTCGACGATCTCAAACTCTACATACCTCAGCCAAACTTAAGGTCCGCAAGAGAAAGAAAATACACTCGAACCTCATTATAACAAACTTGCATGTTACATGAAAATAAGTTCGTTATATCCACAAATTTGTTATAAAGGCTTATTCTTACGTCTAAATCTATTGCGAGACTATTTTTCATTTACTTGTTATAATCGACATTTCGTTACATCCAGATTCGTCATATTAAGGTTTGAGTGTATATACAGAGTTGTACCTTATTCTCAAGTTCAATACAATACAGCCAGTAGGTATAAACGTCTCTAAAGATGCTCTTGAATCTATTTGGTATGGTACATACACACACAAAAAAAAGTGCGAGTTAAGCCTTCCGTCTGGGAATTTCAAACCTGCCATTGTTAACTTCTGACAACCGGTGCGACAACCGGGATTCAGCGACAAGTGTACATCCTCACCTCCCCACTGCTTCCTTATTTTTTTTTTCTTCCATTCATGGAACACTAGTTCCTCTTTCACTCATACATTTTGTAACATCACCCCGCCTCCCCTGTTTTTTCACACCCCCATACCTGATGTTGCCCCTCTCCTTCGTTTGTTAGGACGGAGGAGAGGGCACGAAGCCTAGACACATTAGCGGTAAGGAAACCAGTTCTGTTCTAGCCTTGAGGAAGACAAGCCTGCTTGTTGAAGCGTCCGCTCGACATAACCTGCTTATGGATTTTTCATCGGTGTTTTTCACAAGTTTCCCCTTCCTATTGTTTTTTGAAGGGCCCCTTTAAGCCACACATAGAGAACTGGCCAACCTTCTGAAAATCAAAGCGAAGCCATATTCTATTCTCAAGCATGTTGGCGGAGTGGTTACGATGCTCGGCTGCTGACCAGAATGTCATAGGGTTGTTAAGTGTTCGCATTTCTATGGAGGCATAATGGTAGAGGTCTGTGTACTGTTCGATGTCAGCGCACATTATAGAACACCAGATGGTCGAAGTTTCCGGAGCCCTCCACTACGGCGTCTCATAATCATATGGTGGTTTTGAAACTTAAACGCCGGTCATTATAATGTATTATTCGGTAGGCTTAGAATAGGACATACTTATGGCATGCGTGAGTACTCATTGACTGGGGAGCACCTCCAACCTGGTGTTCAGTGCATGAGCGTCCTTATCGAGGTTCATGTCCTACTACACTTTTGAGATGAAACCTGAACAGGGGTAGAAAAAGAAAGAACTGTTCAAAAGCCTATTGGGAGTGAGTGAAAGCAACGAACAAACCATATACCCTGCTGTGAATGATTTGTCCAGTTCTCACCTTTTTCATAGCTATCCAACTCGAAAAGCCCTGGTCACTGGGCCTTGCTAGGGATTCTCGTGTCCCATTTCCTCAACCTTTAATGAACCGCTGGTGGCTCCCTTTTCATTCTGCATTTTTTCAAAGCAATTATCCACTCTTAAAGTCATCCTTGAGTCATAACTTATGTGAAGGCACCAGCACATAAGATTTTTAACATCCTTTCCTACAGCATGCTGCTGTGAGGGTGCTGTGTTTTTAATCCACTATCTTCCAGGGCCTTTCTCTTAAGAGTAGTGAAGAACTAGTACTTAATATTGAATCTGCTTTTTAGTACGTTTTATATCGTACAGCCTTCATTACAGTGTATACATTTCATTGTATACATTTCATATCACTTTTAAGACTTTTATTAAATATGTTTTTCATGCACTTCAAATGTCCAGCACCTTATGCCCATTTACACCAACGTTACATTTACTCATTGTCACTAATCACTCTGTCACTCATGCATTATATTATATCTTGGCACTTATTTGTCCACAACTGGTCTTTGCACCATAAAACACCACATGTTGTCAGCATGATTGGCTTATAGCACTTGTTTGGGCATTTTGCTTAAGCAAAATTTAGAGTTTGGTTTGTGTGTAAAACCTAAATCGTATTGAAAGCCTGAAGGGGCAACTGCCAATCGAGCGTTTGTCTTCAGGAAGTTTAAATAGTTCGAATAGTAAAGTTCCAGTGCAAATCGAATCAAATAGCAAACACTATTAAAAGAAGATTTGAAATTTCGAAGATTCGCTCACCCCTAATCGCTTGTGCGGTTGTGTAGTTTGGCCTACTTAAATTGGATGGTCACAGCCCATCGGTTCTGTGTGTTCAGGTTTGATGATTGCGGTGTTGAGGAGCCCACAGCTGGTGTTGCAGCACGAGACTCAGCACCAGCACCTGTGGTGATGACCCGGCAGGTGAAGCACTCACTCCAGAGGCACGAGAGAGACCATGAGGAGATCTTCCAGCTCTAGCAATGTTCCCCCTACTCAGCCAAGGACCGTTGTGTGTGTGTGCTCATGTGTGTGTGAACCCTTCTGTCTAAGATGGCGAGTGCTACCGCTCCTGTTTCTGTGAAAAAGAGCTGTCAAGCTAGGACAGTTTATTTTGTCATTGACACATTCTGGCAGTATGGCAGTGGCTGGTCCTTGCCATTACTTTTGCCAATTCAACAGCTCCTGCAATAGACGAGCGCATTGCATTTAATTTGTTTGTCTTAAAGAAAGGTAATCGCATTGCCTCACTAGAAGTGGCAGGAAGCGACAATGGAACATCGGTCACTGGGAACATTGGTCTGCTGAATGCCTGCATGAAATTCTAGAAACGCTCCAATTTGGAACAAAATTAACTTTCATGCTGCAGCTTTTGTCAAGGGGAACTAGGGCACTTTGTGCTGGACTGCAACGCGACATTTCGCTGTCTTGTGGGCCACGTGGTGCACTGGCACTGCGCAAATCTTTCAGACGAGCTCCTCACCCGATGGGCTTCTTGAATCGGGAGTTTTGCACAATTATGTGGTGGTTGAACAAGAACACCACTATGATCTTGCTGGTAGCAGATTCATTTGACAAATGCTGTACGATTTGTAACTTACGAGAGACCTATCTGCTTTTTTGTCACGAGATACTAGTACCAACATGAACATTCTGCTGCACATTTTTGAAAGTTATGTTTTTTAATAAGATTGTCATTATAAATGGAACTTAGAGTGTTTACCATGACCTATCAAGTGCCATTGCCCTCCACGTCAGTGCATGGGTGTTCATTGTTTGCAAGTTGCGAATGACTCGTGAGAATTGCATATCATTGGATTTCTGCTATACTAAATTGACAGTTTTGCACTTCATCAGTCTTCTTCCAAAACATGTTTGAAATGCTTTGCACCTATCCCCTGTGATGTTTTGTCATTATACATTATTCATGAGACTATGCAGCATGTCTTGATGTCTATGGGGGTTTTCAGTGCTGGACAGCTTTGCATTCATACTTCGCAGGCCACCCTTCCAAATTGCATCGTTATTGGCATGCTTACCAAGGATATCTAAAGTTGTAATTTTAGACAGCAGGTAGGAATAAGAAAGGAAGCGCATGTTCTGTGAAATATTCAGGTGCAAGTGTGTGATGTTGAGAATTGTCGACTTTTTTTCTGTGTGACTGTCTAGTTTCACTTTAACCCTTGGTGCTAACTTGACTGAATCAACTGTTTCTTTTTTTTAGTTGCAGCAAGCTGCTGGCAAGTCGTGCAATAAGCTGCTTTTATTTTATTAAATGTTCTCTTCTTTGAGAGATGCTGCCATGTAACACGAGCTATTTGGATAAATGACAGTACACAATCACTTTTGCTCTACTGTACAGAGTTCTTTGTTTGAGCAGTGAGAAAGTGGCCTCTGGAGATATTTATGTTATACCTAGTTTGCATAACATATTGAGTAGTTGCAAAATAGTTATGAGATGTTTTAATTACCCTGACCATCTGTTTTCAAGGCTTTGAAGAATGTATGCTTTTGTATTGACTCCACTGTGTCTTGTGACTGCAGCTTGTGGCTACTTCATCCAGTCAAACATTTCCATATTGCCTTGTTAAGTGATGTGCTATTTTTAGTAAAGAGTGTACACGCTTTAAAATCTTTCTGTGTATTCAGCAGCACATTCGACTACGTTAGCTCAGTGAACTCTTGATGCTTGTATGTTTTATTCAGTGGAACTTGCATCGCTTGGAATTATCTCTGTTTTGCCGTTCTTCTAGTGCTCTAAGGTTAACATTTTTGTTTTTCTAGTAAGTACACGGAGTATTAGTTTCATCTATTAAGTGCATGTCGAGGTGCATAATGCTATATTTTTTATCCTTCATGCAGGCTGTTGCTGCAAAGACTACTTTTTTTTTTTTTTCCTGTCTAAGTTGCGACACTTTAGGGGAGCATTAAGGCAATGCTCCAAAGGACATTCATCACGTTTATGTTTGAAATGAAGAGGATTCATTAATGATTTAACTACCAACTCCGAAGTGTTTATTATGCATGGCATATGGTTCACAATGCAACTAATTCATTGCACAGAAAAAGTTTGTGTTAAAGTGTATAAAGTGTTTGTTGTCATTGTACAGAATAGCTCGCTACAAGACTGTAGCAGTGTTGAATTTTGTTATTCATTTCAAAATACTTTTGCTCGGATGCTCCTTGTGATGTTAGGTAGCTGTTATAAATATCAGACACAAAGGACCTTGGGAGTACCTTTGAATCTGGAGTGCTTAAAGCAAGGATGCAGGAATATACTTAATAAACCTGCTGTATTTTGAGCTGCTAGATATATTCTGATTGTAAAGTTCTTCCTTAAGCTGCGTCTGTAATTACTGTACTAAGCCTAGTTTGCCTCATATTACCTTGCAAAGGTCAACGATAGCAGTTAGGACCAATGTCCCGCTGTGCAATGCCTGCTAATGCACTTCTGCAAGTGCACTTGAAACTTCCTTGAATGGAGGAGAGTGTAGGGTAGAAAAGCTCTTATAAGAACTTCTTTGCTGAATGTGCACACTTCGGAGAATTATCTTAAACTGGTTCGTATTAGGGCAGTCCTTGGTGAAAGTTGTGCACTTGCACTCGCAGAGTAGCGACACAATTTTGAGGCTTCGCAAAGAGACATGTTTTGTTTACTGGGCATGCAGTGTTGATGCGCTCCACATTCTGTTACTAGCAAACATGTATAAAATATTTTAGTTTGATTTTAATTTCAAGCGAGTCAGCCCCACTACAGTGGACAGTATCATGACAACCCTACACAGTTTGCTGGGTTGACAAACTTTTCATCCTGTGCGATCAAAATCGCTGTGGAAGTCGCTGGACGACGAATCACCAATTGTAGTTTACATGTAGCATGTGCCACTGACTGCACACAACAGCTTTTTTGCTAGTTTACTACGGGTTGCTGTCTCCATGGGACTTAGACCTACGTCAAGCTGTGTTGACATGTCACTGCGTTCCCACATCACTGTGAAACCACGTCTTTGATATAAAAAATGGAAGTGGGTTGGGTTTTTGAGGTAGGACTGTTGAATATTCGATGCATTTCGAATTCTCATACAACTATTTTTTAGGGTTCTCGTCACCAGCATTATTATTAGGAGGAACAATATGAAACTTTGTAAAATTTGTGCCTGTACTCATTTAATTAAGATTAATGTAATTAAATTGCTGCAATGCAGGAATTGCAATATTAGAAGAATAATCTTTCTTGCTATCAAAAGAACTTTACGAAAATGTTACTTAACCATTCGTAAATGTTGTTCCTTTGGGCTGTTGGCAAAAATGTACGGTGCTAGCATTGGTCCGACAAAAGCATCAGGGAAGTTAGAATTCGAAGTCATTTCTTTGTTCATTGAGCTGTCAAGTCAATGGTCTCGTGGCTTCGTAGTTTCAAGTAAAACACCTAAAATTCATAGTTGTACAGCTACGTGGCACTATTAGTGTCATGTTGCAGTTGTTGCAAGTGCAACATTATTATATACATGGTTACTGAGCAACAAGACCGTACGTCAGTGTATTGCGGTGTTACCAAAGGGTTGTTAGTTGTAGGTAAGCTCTTTTGCCAGAGTGTGATCTTTAGGCAGAAATGCAAGTGGGAGTTGTGATTTGGCTTCGTAGGAGCCAATTGTATTGCAGCTGTGTTCTCTTGCTTTTTAAATGTAGGCTTTTTATTTCGACTGAAATTGGGTACTCTCACACAGCAATCACTTGAGAATAGTGCTGACAAGCAATAATTCTTCTTGGTCATTTTGAAAACACACATTGACATATTTGTGATATATTGCTGATCAGTGTTAAGGTGGTCTCTTTACAGCTTTTGTGGAAATGTGCAGCTATGGGTCATGCTTGTGGTGCGTTTACTTCAAGGAATGTGTGGAAGTTTGTTGATACTTATCTAGGAGTTCCCTGTTCATGATCATCCTTTATATGTTTGTAATTATTTTAGTCAAGTTAGGAAAGTGGGAGCTGTAAATAGGTGATAGTACATAAGCAATCATCATTTGTCGGCAGTTAGCCTGGTGAAACTTGTAGGTCAAAAAAAAAAAAAAAACAGTGATGGAACGAGTGACGACGGGCAATGCTTTTCGGGACGAAGCACATCGTTCCTTCGTCACTTGTTCCATCAGTGTTTTTTTTGTGTGTGTGTGCTTGACAAGTTTCGCCTTGTTATCACCACCAGCAAGCCCACTCTTACATTTTTGCAAGTGAGCTTGTTGCCCTGCCAAAGTGTGACTACATATCTTAAAGCAAAGATTATTAAAGCCTTCCTGTTTGAAAGTGCCAGTGCTAAGAATGTGTACATGGGAGCAGTGTTGTTGTGCTGCAGATTTCCTTAGCACGCAAGGCAGCAGGCTGAAAAGGTTTATCTTTGCAAGGTAGCAAGTGGATCAGAACATTGTTGGTATCATATGTGTGAACGTTTAGTTATAGTTTATCTGTTAGAAAGCCTCGAGAAAGCTTTGCCTTGAACAGTGCGAGTTGCTGCTTAAGCATGTTGTCGTATGCGTAGAAGACTCTTTATAAAGGCTGATGAACATGCCGAAGTTTATATTTTTTGTTGAGTGATCAATGCACAATAAATCTCGATGTGGCAGTTAAATATAGCTGTGTTCATTGACTAAATTTAAGGCAAATAATGTTTTTAAGACATAGCTTCAAATAGATTTGTTTGTGTTTGATACACTTTAATAGCTTTGTTGACTTTTCAGTTCTTGAAACAAGACCTTTTGAGAAAAATTGACTGAACACGCCTCAGAAAGTGACAGGAATTTATCAGGAAAGTGATTATGCATGCACACTGTTGAATGTGTATGGTTACTCCTATTCAAAAGAAGTTAAGTTGCTTCCAAATATAGTTTTAGATTTCTCTATTTATAAAGCAGTTTGCACGTGACTAAAATGAAATACTGAAAGAAAAAGGAAAGCAATGATAATTGTTCGAGCAACAAGGCATATGTGAATGTGCCCTTCAAGCAAATAATAAATTCAGCTAAAATGATACTATTTAGATAATACAGGGATCCTAAATATCACTTTTACTTAGCACAAATTCTTTGTAGATCAAGTTAGTAACAGCGAAGTTTTCATTTATCATAGCTTATAATGCTCATGCTTTCCAACTGTCTGATGGGTGTTGCAGGTGAAGCTGCCATCGCTACGTCTAGTGTGGCTGCTGTGTGCTGGCTGCCTGCAGTGCTGAGCGCCAGAGACTTTATACTCAACCCCTCAGTGCCCACCTCGACCTCCCTATAATTTCTGAAATACACCTATTTCACTCCCACTCCCTTCCTCATAGTTTCCACATTAATCTTGAGTAGATTGGCCATGGTCAAGTCAGCTTCATTTTAATGCAATAGCATTACAGGTACACTAAAAGCAAGTATTAAGTCGACGTTGATGTAAAAAATAGTGGTCCGGAAACCTCGTAGCGCTACCTTTGTGCGAAGGAAAGAAGTGCTTATTTTGAAGTAAAACCACGTTTTAGTGGCCCGCATTGCGTTAGTGCACTTCAAAGCACCCGCTTGAAAACGGTCTTTCGACGGCACCGTTTCCGTGCCCAACTTTGCCCGCCTTTTTTCACTGCGCCGCCGCCGACTGGCTAGTATAGTGAACTAGGAGAAATGCGGCAAGACCAGTGGGGCGAACCCGGTTTCGCGGCGTTTCCTTGCGCTTTTCACGGCCGCTAGGGTAGGTACCGGCGCTGCTGCTCCTTTTTGTGCCGGGACGTGGTGCATTGGGGGGGGGGGGGGGGGGGGTCTATCCGTTCGCCTTTGTAAACTCGCTGCCGGGAGCCTTCATGTGCGGGCCGCCTCAACGCGCACATACAAGCGCCGACTAACAACTGAACTTTATTAAATGCGAAGCATTTCTTAGCGAACTTCGGTGAGTTTGAGCGTATCTATCTATCTGTCCGCCTACGACCTTTAGCTCTCCTGGCCGCTTGGATAATGGTATCGATACCAAACTTGGTATGGCATAACATGACTATATGACGGGCATATTCGACTGGACATAACATGAAAGTCGGGACATGTATGACATGAATGTAGTGTTGCTGCTCTTGCGGTGGTTTCGTTCGCATGAAATGTTGCAAAATTGGTGTGGTATGACATGATTGCCTGGTGAACAGACCCTAACATGAAAATTGTGACAAGCGTGTCATGTTACAACATGACTACATGCCACGCTCATGATGCGCTCTTGGTCGTTTCGCCAGCGTCACATGTACCAAATTTGGTATCACGGTACGTGAGTGGATGACCGAGGTATCTGACTGGTGCAAATAAGATAATCATGAGATGCGTGTCATGTAACAACATGACTACATGCCACGCTCATAATGCGCTGGCGGCCGTTTTGCTAGCGTCACTTGTACAGGATTTGGTATTACGGGACGTGAATGGATGACAAAGGTGTGAGACTGGTGCAAACATGAAAAACATGATTCGTGTCATGTAACAACATGACTACATGGCATGCTCATGATGCACTCGCGGCCGTTTCGCTAGCTTCAATTTGGTATAAACCAAATTTGGTATTGCGTTACGCGCACGGACGACGTGGTAAATGACACATCCAAACGTGATAATCACGACATGCGTGTCATGTAACAATATGACTGCATGCCACACTCATGATGCGCTCGCGGCCGTTTCGCTAGCTTCACAAATGCCGAATTTGGTATAACGTGACATCAATGGATGACGAGGTACGTAACTGGCAAACATGATAATGAAGAGGTGCATGTCATGTGAGAACATGACCACATGCCGCAGTCAAGACACCAATACACTTCGACGAGACCTGGCGCGCCGGCGTTGCCATGCCAGGCGCCGATCCTGCCATATACTGGCCGGCGCACGCTGCGTTCCTTTGACGCATGCGCGTTTCAGCGCGTTCGGCGTCCCTCAGTCTCGAAAAGAGGCAGACGCAGTGCTGTCTGGGTAACGCATTGGCGCAAAATGCAGCATGTCGCATTTGGCGCCGGTTGCCGTCGGGCCACGATGACGGACGCTGGTGGCGCCGGTCGCGCTTGGCGTCAGACTATAGAATGCTCGTGTTTTGCTAACGTAGCGTCGCTGTGCCCAGCGTTCGCGCGTCAACGTTACTCTGGAGTATATTGGGCCCTTCATGATGCACTGGAGGCCGTTTCGCTAGATCCACATATACCGAATTCGGTGTTACGTGACGTCAATAGATGATGAAGGTATATGACTGCTGCAAACGTGATAATCATGAGACGCGTGTCATGTAAGAACATGACAACATACCATGCTTATAGCGTGCTCGTGGCCGTTCTACTATCTCCACATATACTAACTTTGGCATCACGTGACGTAAATAGATGACGGAAGTAAACGACACATCCAAACATGATAATCATGACACAGAAGTCGTGTACGGCACAATTTACCTCCACCTCTTAACATTGTGCTGATTTAAAAGTGGCGCATCAACCTTCCTCATTAGTGCTTCGCATATAATCGATTCTCACTGTACGTGGGATCTGCCAATTTTTTTTTTATTTCGAAGAAACATGAAGGTATAAATAGCAGAACCAGGTATAAATAACAGAAATCACATATTTGCATCAGATATCGCACCGCTTTAAGAAAATTGGAGAGAAATCATTGGTGACGGTTCTTTATCCGCTCCCACTAAACTGTCGAAGCTATGCAAGTGAACTCGTCTTGTGAATAAGGATGAAAGCTGCAGTATTAAACACACTAACCCAATCACTAGAGTGTGCTAAACACGTGGTCACCGTGCATGTGGTATATGACGTACCCCTTTCCTGTGGAGCGACGTACGGGGAACAAACGGGAAGATGTCTGAACGTGCATCTTCTAAAGCATTGTCCAAAAGCGGTAAAAAGGTAGAGATTTTTTTTTTTTTTTGGTGCAACATTGTTCCGAGTGTATCTACTGCACTCATATCTTTTGTGACGCTATACTGTAAACGCTAAAACGTCATGCTAGAAAAAAAAAGTTGATTATTGAAGCTGCGGCAGTTGAAGAAAAACAAAAGTGGATTAGCAAACCTTTTATTGCGCTATCCATGAAGGAGTTATCATTCTTGCGGCGAGCGAACTCCCTTGCACGCTTTTCTTAACTTTGAAAATGATTACGAGCTATCATGATCAAAGGACGCTTTCGACAGCATGCACTCGCGCATGGGCGAGTCTGCATATTAATACACGTTCCTTCGAAATGAAATTCAGTTCTTCGCGCATCTCTTTGTGTGTCCCTCTTTCGCCCGTGTCTCATGCGCTGTGAGATACGGGCGAAACCTACGGGCTAGCCCTATTACGGATTATTCTGCGCACATGAAGGCTCCCTATTTTCATAGTGTGTGTGCGGCGGTATGGGGAGGATGACTTTGCCCAACGTGTTCTCTGGCCCGACGCGCTACAGTAACGATAGTTATAGCGCGAGAACAAAACGACGACACAGAGACAAGAAGGACACGAAAGACTTCTCGTGTGGATCAAGAGCGCCGCGGGCAACATGGCGAAGAGGCGGACAGACTCGCACCCAACGTTACCAGTGCTTCGCTCCGGGTTGCCGTACGGGCAACCCGAATGGGCCAAAAGCGTCCTTATTCGCCGCACCGAATGATGACGACCTCCGAAAGAAGTGGAAGCGGAACCTTCACAGGAAAGATAAAGCTTTCGGCATTTCTTCGGCAGTATGCGAGCACCACTTTAAACCGCACTTCGTTCTGTGTGTAACAACGGAGTACGGATTCCGAGAGAGATCCGCACTTCGTCTCTTTGTCGTCGTTCTGCTCTCGCGCTATAACTATCGTCATGCGTACCAACTACCCCAAGCAGCCACACTTCTAAGTCCCATGAAGCGGGCAGTTTGTACGTTGTCCGCTTTCGCCGGAAAGATTGCGTTTAGGTTTAGAGCGCACAAAGGTCATCTCGCTGGCTGCAGGTCACCGTTCGCGAAAGGAGCGCGCTGTTTAAACACAGTGTAGTAACAACTGTGACACTTGTTAGTTCGCGCTCTATATGTGGGGTTTAACGTCCCCAAACGCCCATATGATTATGAAAGACGCCGTAATGGAGGGCTCCGGAAATTTCGACTACCAGGGGTTTTTTTTAACGAGCACCGAAATCGGAGCACACGGGCCTACATAATTTTCGCCTCCATCAAAAATGCAACCGCCGCAGCCGGGATTCGATCCCGCGACCTGCGGGTACTTCGCGCTCGTCCTCTGTATGCCTGTGTGTGTGTTTCGTGCCCAGAGTGCGTTAAGTGACGAGCTGTGCACATTGCTAGTTCGCTTTGACCTATGTGTGCTATTTTCGTGCGTCATTTGTTCTTGAGCAGCGCGCTGCAGGTTTCGATCTGCTTGCCGTTCTTCGCGTGGCATTCCAAATCGTTGCTATCGCATCCATTGCGTCGTCCTTGAGGCGTGACTGCCACTTTTTTATTGCGATAGCAATTATATGGCAGTCTCGGCTGGTTTTTTTGCCATATATATATATATATATATATATATATATATATATATATATATATATATATATATATATATATATATATATATATATATATATATATATATATATTGGAAGGATGCGCTAGCCCC